TAAATTTTACTAGTGATGGACTCTACCACTAGCATGGGACGTGGCCCAAACGTAAACAATCCACGAAGAAGTTGGACGATTGAAGAAGAACGTGCATTAATCCAAGGATTAAAGGAGCTCGTTGCACGTGGAATGAAAGTTGACAATGGGTTCCGTTCTGGGTACACATTGTTTTTAGAACAATACATGCAGCAACAGTTTCCAGGAACTACAATTAGAGTCGAGCCTCACATAACGTCGAAGATTACGATATGGATAAAAAACTATGGTTTACTTCAACATAAGGTTACTCAGTGGTTGGGCGGAATCGAAGTGCATGCGGAATCGGGTCTTGTGAATGTAAATCATACGTACTGGGCATACGTTGGGCGGGTATGTTTTACATATTCATGTGCATTATTTGTTACGTCCCAGGTCTATTTATTCCGGGCATGCATGCAATGTGTAGGCAAACATTGTTGTCATAGTACTTTATATTATATTGCATATTATGATTGACCATTCTATTAGGCGCCTAAGTTGATTCAGTAACATGCACCATTCTTCAAATGTGAGGATCGCTAGTCGAACCCTTGCAAGACGTCGGGTTTGGCTTGTGCGGTGGACGTGGAATGCGCAATGGGGTTCGACTGCCCACCCTATTAATTAAGACATGGGTATGGGTGTTGACGGAGCTTTCGGACGAGGCATCGTGGGGCCCACCATGTTGGGGCTGAGCGTGATTGCTACTACAAAGACTCTGCAAAACATTGTGATATGAATTATCTTCAACCACATTACTTCGTTCGACAGGGAGAGGAAAAAAAGCTTCGTTTGTGGAGTTGCGGTAATGAACAACTTCAGATCTTGGGTTTGTAGAGTACCCATCCTCGAAAATGAAACGCAGATCGGCCCAACGGGGGTTACCGGAATGTTGATAAGCAACACTAAAAGCGTTCGACTGAAATATTACACAAAATGAAATGTTTACCCAAATTTCACTCACACGTATTACATAGGATTTTAATATGAAATATTTTCGTGAAGTTAAATTGTGTAATCCTCATGAGTCAATGAAAAAAAAAAATTATAACCGACACGAAAAAATGTCATGTTACCTCGAAGATTTCATCCCAAACCGCAACTAGAGCAGTGAGTATGTTGGATTGAATGCAGTGGCGCAAACCAGGCTTTTTTAGCATCCAGCTAAAAACTTAGTACCGCTTTCGAAGAAAGTTGAATCTCTCTTCTAATTCATCGTGACTATAACTAATGTCGAGCTCGCCGATGAGAAAACAACGATAGTAATTAAAGGCCGCACCCTCGGGATGGCCATCTGTCCACTGGCCAAGCATATGGGACTCTACTAGCAAGTCAATAAAAATATTGTCGGCCTGCTTAGTCCAACGAGCATCATACAGGCATTCGTCTTGCGTTATAGGGGTGGATAGACGAGACATTGTGTTTGAAATGACCCAGAAATCAGGAATGAAGAAGAAGTATGTATGCAGTTAATGTCTGAATTTGCTTCACTTTGTGTTCTGCTTTTATAGGGAAGTCATGCAAGTGCAATATCAACATTGGATTCTCTGAATAAATAAAATTTTAAAAACCCTTGAAGTGTAGGCCACATGTTGTACTCAATAATGGGCATAATGTGTAAAAAATTTCCAAACCATTTTGCAGGTTGTCTTTTAGCACCAAGTTCACTCATCATGTACTGGGTCATTGATTGACAGTAGAGAGAAAGTGATGGAAAAACTGTCACGGGGGCTACAGAGGGGTGAGTACTGTCTTTGTATTTGTACATGATGAATGGTTTGAAAATAAAAATTGCAAAGTATGTTCATAAATTAAAAATGTAAAAAAAGAAACTGCCACGTTAGCTTCTAATGGACGACCTTATCAAATTCTTCCTGCATATATATAAATACAGCAACATGCACGGCAGGAAAAAAAAAAACTAATATATATATAT